TGGAGTGGGGGTGGGGGCAAAGGGGGGCTTTTGTATCTTTGTATTGAAAGGTGTCAGTGATGTGGCCCTTGGCAATGTACTAGTTCTCATGTAGCCCTTGTGGTGATTTGAGTTTGAGATCCCTGATCTAGACTTAACCAGTTAGTAAAAACTCTACATAAAACGCAGACTGCAGTTACTTAGGCCCTGATTAGGCAAAGCACTTAGAGATAGATTATTAAAGGTATTTAGGCACATATAAGTGCTATTGAAATTAATGGGAATTAGGCATCTAGGCAATTTTGAAAATCCCACAAGGCACCTACTATCATTAGGCACTTAAATACCTTTACAAATCTGGCCTTTAAGTACTATTGTTGGATTAAATTATGCTACAGTACCTTAAAAGTTTAGCCCGTGATGGGCACTATTCATGCTAATCCTTGCAAGCTGCGTGCTTGTTCTTAGCGAACACAAAAGAAGATTCATGAATGGTGTCAAGGTTCCTCCCCCACTATGAACTCTAGGGTACAGATGTGGGGACCTGCATGAAAACCTCCTAAGCTTACTTTTACCAGCTTAGGTTAAAACTTCCCCAAGGTACAAATTAATTTTATCCTTTGTCCTAGGAATATCCACTGCCACCACCAAACTCTAACTGGGTTTACTGGGAAATGTAGTTTGGACATGTCTTTCCCCCCAAAATCCTCCCAACCCTTGCACCCCAATTCCTGGGAAAGGTTTGGTAAAAATCCTCACCAATTTGCATAGGTGACCACAGACCCAAACCCTTGGATCTGAGAACAATGAAAAAGCATTCAGTTTTCTTACAAGAAGACTTTTAATAGAAATAGAAGTAAATAGAAGTAAAGGAATCACCTCTGTAAAATCAGGATGGTAGATACCTTACAGGGTAATTAGATTCAAAACATAGAGAATCCCTCTAGGCAAAACCTTAAGTTACAAAAAAGACACACAGACAGAAATAGTCATTCTATTCAGCACAGTTCTTTTCTCAGCCATTTAAAGAAATCATAATCTAACACATACCTAGCTAGATTACTTACTAAAAGTTCTAAGACTCCATTCCTGTTCTATCCCCGGCAAAAGCAGCATACCAACAGACACAGACCCTTTGTTTCTCTCCCTCCTCCCAGCTTTTGAAAGTATCTTGTCTCCTCATTGGTCATTTTGGTCAGGTGCCAGCAAGGTTACCTTTAGCTTCTTAACCCTTTATAGGTGAGAGGATTTTTCCTCTGGCCAGGAGGGATTTTAAAGGGGTTTACCCTTCCCTTTATATTTATGACAAATGGTATTAAGTTTCTGTTCATATTTATACCAGTGCAAGTCTGGAGTAGCTAAATTGATTTCAGTAGTCACTCCTGATTTACAGTAATCTAAATAAAAGCGGAATTTGGTGCAGTCATCTTCCTCAGTCTGATTGCTTCCGAATGGCTGTCCAACCTCCTGAAAACAGCTGCCCTGTGCCCCATTTTTACCCAGCTGCAGCAACCTGCCGCACGAATAGTCTGTAAACAAGCTTGTCCTTTTAAACACCATCAAGTGCATATTTTCAGCAAAACTATTTTAATCAAAGTCACATGCAGATTACATTTGCTCAACCCAATTCTTGTTATCATTATTGACCAGAACTGTGCACAATAATCCAAATATGGTCATGGGGTGCTTCTTACAGTTCTAAAATAACTTCATTTGATACCTATTACATACCTTTTTTAATACACAATGGAATTTTGTTTGCAATTTTTACTGCTGAGGATGATACCTAATATTTAAGGTTTAATTTTTAACCCATGACACAGTTTTTTCCAAATATTTAACACTGAAACAATGAATAGCTTCAGAAATATTTTTAGACTTACCACAGAAAGTCTTTAAGCAATTCAATTTTTTGTCATTGGCTTTTTGGTTGCATAACTGTTTGTTACATAATATTCCTTTTGAACCTCTCATAGCTTGATCCTCCAAGGTGCTGAGTGCTCTCAACTAATGGGAATGACGTGCATAACTGGGCCCTTATTGCCTCTTTTTATGACACAAAATCATTTAACAACCAGCCGAGATTTGTCCTATAAAGATGTATCCAATATTTGTTGTAGTTAAAGGTTGAAATGAAATTAATGTAACTCAGTAAAGAGAAAATATTTATGCATGTGAGAGGACTAAGGAGGATGCAAATCAAACAGCCATTGTATCCCTAGTACTACCAGATCCCCAAACAAAAATGTGAAATATCTGAGTGGGAGAAAAAAAAGAAAACTTTTTTCTAACCTGCTGAAAAAAAATGATGCTCACATGATAGCTAGATACATCAAGGGTAACAAGAAAACAATCTACAAATACATTAGAAACACCAGGAAGACCAAGGACAAGGTAGACACGTTACTCAGTGAGGGTGGGGGGGGAGGAACAATAACAGAAAATGTGGAAATGGCAGAAGTGCTAACTGACTTTTTTTAGTTTCCACCAAAATGGTTAGTAGTGATTGGACGTCAAACATAGTGAATGCCAGTGAAAATTATCTAGGCTCATAGGCTAAAATAGGGAAAGAAAAAGTGTAAAAGGTGTCTGCTGGTGGAATTTCTCAGAAAGCAGGTGGGAGAGCTGCAGGGAGAGGTACCTAGGCTGAGGCGCATCCATGCCCATGAGGAATTCATTGAGAGTATTCATATGGAGATATCCAAGGCTGAGGAAGCTAGCTAGTTATCTAGCTGGAGAAGACTGTTGTCATGCCAGGTAAGAGGATGTGGCTCTGTCACAGGGAGGACACTGGCTGCTGGCTACTTCTGGCAGCACCACAGTTGGCAGTGCTCCAGCCTTACTCCCAACCCATCCACCATAGTGCTGAAGAACTGTTATGTTGTGAACGCCAGTGAAAATGACAAATAGGGAAGAACTGATTGAGAATTTGAAAATGGAAGTCAGCTTGGGTGAAAGTGATCATGCAATGGTAGAGTTCATGACTCTAAGGAATGGTAGGTGGGAAAATAGCACAATAAAGATAATGGATTTCAAGAAGACAGACTAGCAAACTTTAGGAGTTGGTAGGTAAGCAAGTCTAAGGGAAAAAACAGCTCAAGAGAGTTGGCAGTTTTTCAAAGAAACATTATTAAGGGCAAAAGAGCAAACTATCCCACAGTGTAGGAAAGATAGGAAGTATGGCAAAAGACCATACTGGCTTAACCAGAAGATCTTCAATGATCTGACCCTCAAAAAACAGTCCTACAAAAAGTGGAAACTAGGTCAAATTACAAAGGATGAATATAAACAAATAACAAATAACAGAAATCTGATGAGGTTCATTAAGGATAAGTGCAGGGTCCTGCACTTAGGACGGAAGAACCCAATGCACAGCTACAGACTAGGGACCGAATGGCTAGGCAGCAGTTCTGCGGAAAAGGACCTAGGGGTGACAGTGGATGAGAAGCTGGATATGAGTCAGCAGTGTGCCCTTGTTGCCAAGAAGGCCAATGGCATTTTGGGATGTATAAGTAGGGGCATAGCGAGCAGATCGAGGGACATGATCGTCCCCCTCTATTCGACATTGGTGAGGCCTCATCTGGAGTACTGTCAAGCCTGACCTTAAAAACTTCTAAGGAAGGAGATTCTACCAACTCCCTAGGTAACGCATTCCAGTGTTTCACCACCCTCCTAGTGAAAATACTTTTCCTAATATCCAACCTAAACCTCCCCCACTGCAACTTGAGACCATTACTCCTTGTCCTGTCCTCTCCTACCACTGAGAATAGCCTAGAACCACCCTCTCTGGAACCACCTCTCAGGTAGTTGAAAGCAGCTATCAAATCCCCCCTCATTCTTCTCTTCCGCAGACTAAACAATCCCAGTTCCCTCAGCCTCTCCTCATAAGTCATGTGTTCCAGACCCCATCATTTTTGTTGCCCTTCGCTGGACTCTCTCCAATTTATCCACATCCTTCTTGTAGTGTGGGGCCCAAAACTGGACAAAAAACATTTGATCCAACTCTTTGGCAGGGCACAAACAATCAGTGAGTAAACAATACAGGGTTGTGGGAGTGGTGGAAGAACTGTGTGTGGAAGAGTGACCAGATGTTCTGATTTTACAGGGACAGTCCTGATATTTGGGGCTTTTTCTTGCATAGAGGCTTATTACCTCCCACCCCCCCTCCCGATTTTTCACACTTGCTGTCTGGTCACCCTTGTGTGGGAGGTGGTAAGGAAGGGATGAACAATGTAGCCTGCTGTCCTGTGCCTATGGAAGGCCCCCTCTCCAGGGTGGGGAAGGGAAACAGGTTTCCTGGGTCTGATCGTGAAGAGCCCCTCCCAGGGGTAAGGTGTAGTCACCAGACACTCAGGCCTGGGAGGCTTAGCAGCTGTAAACGGAGGAGGGTAGTGAGCCCCCCCATAGTGCCACAAGTCCTCCTTTTCTTTCTGCGGATACAGACAAACAGGGCTGCTACTCTGAAACATCCCCTGGGATGAGCCAGCTCCCGCCCAGGCTGTGTGAGCGTGTGGGAAGGAAGAGACCCTTCTCCTGGGGACTAGCCACCCCGCTCCCGCGTCTGGCGCCCTGAGGGAGTTCGCCCGGGGAATGGGCTAGGCGGGGGCTAGCGTTAGGCCTGGGTTGGCGGGGTAACGAGGCCGCTGCTGGGCACTAGCCAGCGCCGCGCTCTGTGGGGGGCGGCCCGGAGGGAGCGCTGGGGACAGGCGGCAGCCCGCCCTTCTGCGCGTTCGGAGTCAGCCCGCGCCCTGGGGGAGCCGGTTCTGCTCCGCCCCGGGGCGGGCGAGAGGGGCCCAGGGCGCGAGCGGGACGAGGGGAAGGCCGGAGGCGACCCGAGCAGGAAGAGGGAGCTCGGGGAGGGGACAGACGCCCCGCCCGGCGTGAGAAGGAATTAGCCGCTGCAGTGTGTGGGGAGGGGCCGGGGAGCCGAGCGGGAACACCCCCGCCCCTCCCATGCGAGGGGAGAGGGAGGCGAGCCAGCGCCGCCCCGCGGCGTGTGAGGACTCGGAGAGGGAGCCCGGAGAGCGCCCCCTCCCCCCCAGTGGTGACAGTTTCTAGAAGCCTGTCCCGGCGTCCTTTGCGGTCTCAACATGGAGGAGCTGACCGTGGAAGTGCGCGGCTCCAACGGGGCCTTCTACAAGGTATCGGCCCGCGGCGAGCAGCGGGAGCGGGGCGGGTAACGGTTTCCGTGTCCCGGGCTCGGCCTGTCCCTCTCACCCAAAGAAACCGTTAGGGTAGTTTCGGGCCCGGGGCGGGCAGGTGATAGCGAGGCGGGGCCTACGGGGCAAGGGTGTTCGCGGGCGGGGGGGGAGGTTTGCCTGGGTGTAGTGGGGAAGGGTGGGCTGGAGGGAGTGCGAGTGTTTGGGGGCGCTGGGAGAAGGGGGTTGGGTTGTGGGGTGGGCTGGGGGAGGGGCTGCCTGGGGAAGGTGGCTGGGCTGGGAGGAGACATCTGCGTGCGTGGTAGGGTTTGAGCAGGAGTTTGGGGGCGCCTAGATGAGGTTTAGTCTCAAATGATGGGGCTAGTCCCATGTAAAGTGGAAGGGGGAGTCTGCTTTCATTGGGTCTGAGGCAGGTTGTCAGCTGACAAATGGAGAAAGATTTCTTCCTTTTTGGGGGTGAGGGTTTGGATTATTATTTGAAGACTAGAAGCGTTTTGTAGGAGCGTGGGGGGGTGGATTAAATTGCTGAAAATAAAAGCCCATATAATATAATGCTTAGGGACCTGGAGTTTATTTATGTCATCAGAAAGCTTCCTTCACCACCACCCTCCCTGGTATGCCAGGATGTTACAGAATCAATACAAAATACTCTCAGCTGTTGCCTGTCAGTCTTTTTCCCTAAGCCAGGCCTGAGATGTTTGAGAATCCCAGCTCTTTTTATAGAGAGAGCCCTCTGTGTTCCTTCACAGGAGGGCTGATTGCAGCCATCATTGTGAGCACTCACTTTATGCTCTGCTCCCTGTGCACTTAATTTCAGGACTCTCTTAATCACTTACATCTAATCATAGATTTGTAATAGCCCACTATGTCAGACAGTGATTTATTTGCCCTTTCCATGAGTTTCCTGTTGGTTATGTCTGTGGATTTACATTGGATATCATATGGTAATTTTTATCGTATGTAAACCCAGTTGGTGTTTTAAGGATCATAACCAGCTGATTTTACAAGTTTTTGACTTTTAATAGGTAGCTGGTTGATAAACTATTAAGAAGGACTCTGATGGAAAGAACTTACTAGGGAAAATTGTATTTCCACTCTTAATATGTAGTGTTGAATTTTTTATTCAGATCAAGAGTGATGTTTGACTTTGACAAAGAAATTTTAAAAGTCTTATTGAGATTTTGAAAGTCTCATCAGAACACACATTAAAATCCTTCATCGTAAGAGAAAGATGCTTTTAAAAAAGAGAAGGGAGTCTTTTCTGCTGGTTAGAGTAGTCAGGAATTTTATCTAGATACTATTCCTGGCTCTGCCATTGCCTTGCTTTGTGACCTTGGACAATTTACTTAACTATGCTACAGTTTCCTCATCTGTTGAAGAGTACAAGGGTTTACAAGAGTGTTATGAAGTACTTTAGACTCTTTGGATGAAAGGATACGTGTACATTCAAAATTATCATCGTAAAAAGCCTGCTTTATAATCTGGAATGATGAAGTGTCCCTCCAAGTAAGTGAGAATTGGAAGGGCTGGATCTTTACTATTGTGTATTTAGCACTATAAAGGGTGGTTAATGGAAGTAATGGGCCATAGGGAGATGACCCTAAGTGGGTTTTACTTAGAAATGACTAGTTTGGCAGTCAGCTCTATTAACTGAGGTCTGGAGTAAGGATGACATTTAATACTGAAGTAGTCCAGTTATTAAGAGTTAGGTTTATATTCCAATTTCTTTCTGGGGTTGAAATGTATTGAGTTAAGACTTTTGGTCACCTTGTGATCCATACCCACACACCCTTTCAGAAGATCCTGTTTTGTTTTGGTAGATAAATACGGTGAAATAACATCTACTGATGGTCAGGTCTGGTTGACCTAAAAAGCTGTTGCATGTTAAACAAATAAAGGGTGCATGTGTGTCTAGGATCTAAATTGCTTAATTTTTCTGTCTAGGGTTTGGGTGGGAGGGAGGGAGGAATCAGATTGATGCTTTCAGCATCCCTGGGTAGTGATAGAATAGCAAGACTTACAAGGGGATCACTATCTCAGGTAAGATTTGTGTATTCTCAGGTCAGTGTATGGAAGGCATTACCTTGTTCTTCTGAAGGGAAAAAAAACATATTAGCATGACAGGATGAAACCTGAGGGCTGCGCTCTGTCCTGGATTCAGACTCACTATTGCGGTATACCTCAATCATGTCATGAGATGTGAAACTTACCCACCATGCCAACAGATACAAAGCCAAGCTGCTAATTGTGTAAAATAATTCTTGTATAAATGACTTAACTGCAGCTAAGCTATAATCATGTGCTTACAAAAATCTTTAATATTAATTCAAGGTTGCCATATGTTTTACTGTATTTAGTTCTTTAGAGCTATGAACATGGCATCAATAATAGCTTCTCTTGTCCCTCACTAATTGCACTTCATTTGCTAGAATTATAGAGTTTTTTATGTGTGTATTATAAATGACACAATTTAGTAAGGAAAATGGTTAATGTACTTTTCTAAAAATAGAAAAGATCAAAATCTATTTTTCCACAATATAAATCAATTTAATTAAAAGCGTAACTGGTTATGGTGTATGCTACAAGAGGGATTTCTTGATGGTTAGCTCTTGTAATATAATAATCTGATTTAACTCTAAACCAGTGATTTTCCAATGAGGGCTGCGGCTAGTTCAGGGAAAGCCCCTGGCGGGCCGGGCTGGTTTGTTTATGTGCCGCAGCCGCAGGTTGGCCGATCGCTGCTCCCACTGGCTGCAGTTCGCTACTCTAGGGCAATGGGGGCTGTGGGAAGCGGCGCGGGCCGAGGGATGTGCTGGCCGCCCTTCCTGCAGGCCCCATTGGACTGGAGCGGCGAACCGCTGCCAGTGGGAGCCGCGATCGGCCGAACTTGCGGACATGGCAGGTAAACAAACCGGCCAGGCCCGCCAGGGGCTTTCCCTGAACAAGCGGCGGCCCTAGTTTGAAAACCACTGCTCTAAACCATTAACCTCCAAACCAATTTTAAATATTTTTTGAAATAAACATTATCTGACAAGGTTCTGTTAATCATTTTTACTTTATCCAATGGACAGAGAGTACTCTTCTCATCTTACTCGTCTTAGAAGGTTCACAAATTAAAGCCCTGGTCCCTCAAGTTGTTTCATGTGGACTGAGATCTGCCTGCATGGAACAACTTGTAGGATTGGGGCCTAAGGTATGATGAGGCCAAGGCAGATAAGTTGAACACCAGGTAAATTAATCTTTGCAGGATCCTTCAGATGAGCATCTTAAAAAAACCCCAGGTTTTAATAGTGTGGTCAAAAATAAAGAAACTAAGTGGTACAATACTGTTGCAATTCTATTTTGCTATATTGCTTGTGTGCATTTATGGCATATACAGCAATGCAGAATACTACTTACGTACTAGGGTGCCACATTGTAGTTACTGCAGACACTATACCTTTGAATTTCCTGATTTATGTGCATTTGTATTCTCAGTTATTATTTAACCGTAGGGTCAAAGTACATTTTGTTGGTAAAATAAAGTTAAACATATTTTTGAAGGATTATTTTTATCCAACACACATTTGTAATAACTAGACTTTCATGCTGAAAAATAACACACAATGGACTAAAAATATCCCTAGCATAAGCAGGTGCAATTCCCTGTTTGTTACCAGTGGAAATAATATACACTTATGCCCAGGCTAAATTTGAGCCAGTATTGACTAATGCTTCAGGTAATCATAGGAAAGTTGTGTATATACCAGATGTCATTCTGATTCCCCAGAAATTCTGTCTTAAGAAGTGACCATTAATAGTAAACTACCAAGTGGGGCCAGGGTAGGTTGATTTAAATACCAAGTAAAAGCCTTGATTTAAATATCCAGTTTTAATCAACTTTTCCATTTGTGCTTCAGTTCTTCTCTAAAGAGAGATTTATTCACATTGGTTGATATAACCATTAAAACATGCTGATTTTACAATTAATTAGAATGTGTACGCTAGGTTTGGTACATCTTTTTTCTACATAGGAGGGTACACTATAACTATATACATTTGTTTAAGCAATGATATAGCTTAATATTTTCAGATTCTTATTAATTGTACACTTCTAATATGTTAGAAAATGGTGAATGATTAACTTTTTGCTCATGATTTGTGTCAAGCTGCATTAGGATGGTAGCTGGAATTTAATTTGAGACATTACAGCACATAAAATGTATTTTTATTAAACAAAACAAGGCCTTAAAACAGTACATGATCTATTGTGCCATATTTATAAAGCTTGACCTCAAAAGTTTTTCTCATTACTTTGTTTATATAGAAAAGCAGCTTTCAATTCAGAATGTTTGATAGAGGCTCATAGATTCAGCATTATAATTTTTTTTATTTAAATGTTTTAAGATATTATAATAAGGTTAGGCCTTAACATATTTTGTATTAAGTTTGGATTTCAATTTAAACAGGTTTATTATTGAAGGGAAAAACTTAGAATTTAAATAACAATAAAAGTCTGATTTAAATAAAAAAAATCTGATTTTTATATTAAAAAAATCATCCATTTTTATCCAGCTTGAGGAGGGTTTTTTTATTTATGTATTAAATGAAATAATTCACATATGTGATCGTTATAAAAATACAGTGCTTAGGCATTAAAAGGCTTAAGGATTTGGTAATAGTATTCAGATCTTTTGACCTCAACATCAGAGCTTCAGACACAGCCCACAACACTAGTTACCGAAACCTTTATGATGTGAGGTTCTTTCAATGAATAAGGTGCACGTAGTCAAGTTTGTAATGTGCCAGGTTTTCATGACACAGAAATTGCCACCGTTCCTTGTTAGCAATATCAGCAAACAGACAAATGACTGAATGAGACTGAACTCATTTCTAGAGTTTGTTCCTCCTACTTGTGGTTGAGATACATCTGGGGGGAAACTTGCACTACTGTCTGCTGTGCCTCTTTTGTGGATAAAGGCTCCCCTTCCTACCCTGGAATC